AATTACAGCTACTTCCGTTGAAAAGAGCTGCTAAAACTTTCGAAGTAACTATAATGGGGCGGTACGGTTATAGAACGGTCGTTGGTACAGCGAAAATCGAGTCGTTTCCGATCGTAGACTTCACTGTTATAAAAACGTAATCTCTAGGCTTTTTTTCGATCCCTGTAGAATTTTTGCAGACCGCATTTCACAGGAGGACATCCAGTGGTTCTTAGTCTTCCGAATCTTACAAATATGCATTTATTTCTTAGCACTCTGAGGGCCAATACCATTTGACAGTACAAAGATTTAAAAATAGAAGCAACAATGATAAGATAAATTTAAAAAGAATAAAAAACCCAAGGTGAAAAAAATTTAGGTACATAAATATATTTATATATATGTTTATGTATATAAACTCTCTCATGTTTACAGAAAGCTTTTGTTTTATTATTTGCAAAAGGCTTCACAAGGTTTTGTGTTTTTTCTTTCAATTCTCACTGATAAGTGAAACAATGTTGCAGGTTTTTTTTAATTCAAAATTAATATGAAACAAAGTATGTATATTGTACATATGTACACACTATTCTGACGATGATGATGATGATTATGAGAGGGTACATTCCATTATCTGATGGCCTTAATAATAACTTAACAAAAAGTGACTCGGGGTAAACATCATTGTTCAGTTATGAACGTCACAATTTAACGGACTTTGTTTCCAGTGGAAAATAAAATAAACAAAGAATAAAAAAAAATATTGCATGCATGCGTTGTTGTTTTTTAAGTAATGCGTAGTTTTGTTGTTGTTGTTCGGTCGTTCTAGAAAAAGTCAATAAAAAATGTTAATTTTTTTCTTTCAAATTTTTTCTCATTTAATTCTCAGATGTTAAAGAAATTGCTGTCACTCAAAATGGCCATAATGGCAAACATCCCGAAAATGACAGTAAGTGGTTTGTTGTTTTTAATACGTTTTGTTGAAATTTTCTAAATTTTGTATTGAGTATGGAGTGTGCTTAAAATATTCGTTGAAGAAAAATCTATTGACCCCCTTCACTTGTAGAACATTTAAATTTGCATGCTTTTGAAAAATTTTAAATTATTATTTTTTATTGGCTTTTTCTATAATCTGCAGCAGAATTGGATATAACATTTTGTATTTTTTATAATATATATGCATGGGTCTTTTATGTAATAAGTATTTTTTAAAAATATATATTTTTTCTGGAGCCTAGAATAATGTAATACTAAGTAATGAAATATTTGTAAAATATTATACCTAGATAATCATCCACCGAACTTCTATAAATGAAATTGAGTTCCGTTAGACAGAAATCTTAGAGGATATGTAGAAACGTGAGCTAGAATAGTTGAACAAATTCGAAAAAATAGGGTATGATTTAGCCATTTGATTACAGCTATGTTAAAATCTGGATCATGGATCGCAATATAAAGATAGGACTTTGAAAATTTGCACATACATTGCTACTACTCCTAGAAAGGCCCGTATATTGCGTTCCGTCCCATTTTCGGTATATTCAAATTCTTAGACTTTCAGATGGGATTCGAAAAGAGATACAGTATTTGGAGGCTATATCTAAATCTGAACAGATTTTCACGAAACTTAGCACACATCATTCTAGACTCAATTCAGTACGCTATTCCAAATTACCTGGAAATCGAATGATATATAGGGGCTTTGGTGCACCATTTACCTAAAATCGGACGAAAATATATACGGGAGCTATATCTAAATTTTAACCGATTTATTTCAATTTGAATGTGGTTCGTCCTTGTGCCAAAAAAATTGGTGTACCACATCTCATCTAAATCGGATTTTAAATGCGACCTGTACTTTTATTTACAGTTTAACATCAACAGACGGACGAACATGCATAAATCGACTCAGAAAGTGATTCTATGCATATTCTCAAAAGCAACCATGGGCCCATAAAAATGCCAGTTTTTTTCAATAATAATGCAATTAACCAGTGAAAAATAACAGGAAATTGGTGTTAGCCACATCTTCCACTCGAAAAGACTGGCAATATAGGCCCTAGGGTTCTAAACTTCCGCCCAATATTCCGAATTTTTAAAGTCAAAGCTGCAGCTACCACACAAAAAGGCCGACAATCAGGGTTCTAGGTCCATGTTTTGACATAGCAAACATATACAAATTCTGCACCATTTTCGAAAATTTGAACATTTTTAGCAACATTTTGCTGATTATTAGGAAGAGGATGATAATTAAGTTTCCAGGGGGTAGACAAATATTTTCACAGAAAAACGTTAAAAATAGATCCATGTTTTGACATATCCCTTATAAAAAAGTTCCGCTACATTTTCGGCATTTTTAAAGTTTTTGCCGTACTTTCCAACCGGAAGGCTGTTATTACCACACGAAAAGGCTAGCAAAAAGGGTTCCGCCACATTTTCGATACTTTTAAGGTGTTAGCAGTATTTTCCATATAGGCAAACCAAACCAGCTAACCCGTGACCTACATATTTCAATTTAGTTAAAGTGGCGAACAAAATAACTTCTGAATGATAGAGGTTCAACAGTACCGAAGGTGAACTCAATGTTTCAATTTACGAGTTTTCGATTTTTCGGTACTGAATTCCACACACGATGCCTAAATTATTAGGCAGGGATCCATATAAATGTTCCGGCCCATTTCAGGTATTTTGAAGGTCAGATTTTGTGTCTTAATTTTGGAGATTGGTCTTCTCTAAAGAGCCACCATAGTGATTCGTTTACACGGTCAGTTCTGCTTCAGACCTCGATTTACATGTCCTTAGTTCTCATTCATTAAAAAAAAATCTAATTGTTTTTTTCGTACTTCTATTCCGATATCGTTCCAAATTCTATTCAATGTTAGCTGCTCATCTATTCCAAGCTGAGGTTAAACTTATCAAAGGAACTTTTGATTCAGACACTTTTAACTAAACTCTGATAAAATTCGTGACTTAATTGTAGAAAATAAAAGTGTTTCAGAGTTTCGATATATGATTTGAAAATAATTTTTGAGCATATTATGGGATCCGTAATAATAATCATAATTCCTTGTGACTTATTCTCTGTCCGCCTTGTCTCCCATCTTTCCTCTATTTGTTCATATAATTTCCTCTTGTCTTTGTCTCAATTGAATCAATTAGTAAATTATGTTTTTTTCTCTTCTCTCTTCTATTTCTTTTCATGGATTTTCTTATCGTTTTAGTCGAAGAGATTTATAATCAAGATATTGAACTTGATAGTAGATTCATAGTTGCGGCATCCACTGTCTTTCTGTCTATGTCACTGAAAATTATTACCGAAATTGTAGAATATGTTAGACAAAATCCAGAAATTATCCATATAATCGATAGGCAAATTAATGAACTTATGGTAAGCTAGATTATGGAAAAAGCTAAATAATAAAAAAATTGTATTTGTGTGTGTGTGTATATATATGCAATATATTTGCAATTGTATATTAATGTTACTTTTCTTGTTTCTCCTATTTTAGTCCCAGTTCCCGCAAGCGAGGACCCAGTACTACACACCGTACAGACAGTCGGCAGACTTAAGAACAAGATATCCCGTCGCGTCTATAGAAATGTCTCCAGACAAATCCGCAAAGTCCAAAAAGGCAACGTTAACGACTATCTAAGCTCTCTAATAGCTGCCCTGAAATTACATCAATACATTAACTTCATTAACTCCTCGATGGGTACAAATGTGGAGCAATCATCGTTGACTGAAAACTCAAATGCGGCGGCGGCGCCGTCTTCTTCCACCTCGACAGCCAATGCCAACAACTGTAAAGTTCAAAAGTAAATTGGCCAATTTTGTAATTGAAAAAAATTAATTATTTTTTTTTAATATTTTTTATTTAATTTGTTTAATTGCATTTTTTATGATAATTTTTCATTCGTCTGCCACGAGTAGCAGAAGAACTAACACATAAAGCCCTTAACAAAAACCAGAAAATATGTAAACATTGTCATCCCTCTATGCTACCCTACCCTATCCTATCCCCCTCAACGCCCTTATAAATTATCCTTAAGTTTTATTTAGTTGTAGATTCAAACAGAAATTAAACAATAACACAAATTGTTTATTTAGTTATTAAGTGAAAAACGAAATGAATGAATATCCCTCTCTCTATCTCTCAAAGAAAATTGAGCAAAATTCAATTCTAGCCCTGAAATCATAAAATACATAACAGCAAAAATATATTGGGGAATGTTTTCGATGCACAGGAAATTGATTTAATATTTGCAAAGTATTTTGAATTCCTTTAATGAAAATCAATTTTTTTTTTATTCAAGACATTCCCCCCCTTCTTTGCAAGACAAAGAAAAAAGGTAAATTTATTTATTTTTTTTATTTTACAAAAACAATGTAAATATTTATTAATACAGAGAAAAAATGAAATACATAAATTTACCTTTTATAAAGAAAAATTTTGAAATAAAATAAAAAATAACAATTAAGCTTTAATATTGAAATATTATCATAAAGCCTGTCATACATACGCACATATCTATTATTTTTATATATGTATTTTAAGCTCTATATATATATTTATAAATAGTAGTAATGAAATTTTAAAACCCCATTTTTTTGTAGATTTTAAGTACCCCCCCTCCAAAAAAATACTGAAATAAAAGTATAATTTTTTATTGTATAATCTATAATAATATATAATATGAAAACACAACATAAATATGTATATGTGAAATAAAGTGATAAATTATTATTATGAAAATATAATAAAAAATCAAGAAAACAAAAAAAAAAATAAGCATGTGTTCTTTATTTTTATAAACATTAAACGATTGTTTTAGAAACAGCCTTTGAGACAGCATCTCTCAATACATCAATAGGAAAAGACTAAATTAGTGTAAAAGTCTCATTGTGACACATAATAATTAAATATATGATCCGACCAAATTGTTAGCATTTTATGACAGATTTCCCATCCAAGTGTCTGTAATTAGTATTAGAGTATGCAAGAGATCCTCGCCAAATATTATAAATATATGTCGGTGTTTTGATATAGTCAACATATAACCAGTAAGGAATGTAGTAAAGTTGGACTGGACCGACTATATGATGCCCTTCACCACTTTGGTTATATTGCGCATATGTGCCCTTACATATGCAAGTCAATGTTCCCTTGAAGGAACATACGCATGTCTTTCTGCAACCTGTGAAAAATTTAATTTCATTCGGGCAGATTTAGAGTCGTCTTCATACCATGGGACAGATTTCGGTACGCCGCACAGTTAAAAATTTAATTTCGAAATACATATGGAAGCTATGGCTGCATCTGCACCAATTTAAACAAAACTCAATAACGTCATTCAAGTCTCAATAAACATTAGGAGTTTGGAGAGCCATTTATGTAAAATCGAACGAATATATATGAATATGTGAGAGCTATATAGAAATCTGAACCGATCCTAAACTTACTACACATCATTCTAATTCAGTTCTACTATAATTCAGTAAGATATGACAAATTCGTGCAAATCGAAGGATATATAGGGACTTTGGTGCACTATTTACCTAAAATCGGACGAAAATATATATATATATTAGCTATACCTAAATATGAACCGATTTTCACATAATTTAACACACATCGTTCTAGACTTAATTCATTAATTTCGTGTAAATCGAAGGATATATAGTGTATATATGGTGCACTATTTATCTCAAATGGGACGAAACTATATATGAGAGTTATATCTAAATCTGAACCGAATTTCACGAAACTTACAAATCATCATTCTATACTCAATTCTGAACGCTATGCCAAATTTCTTGCAAATCAAAGGATACATAGGGACTTTTTTGCACTATTTACCTAAAATCGGTGGACAATATTTTTGGGAGCTTTATCTAAATCTGAACCGATTTTCACGAAATTTTACACACATCGTTCTAGACTTAATTCAGTACCCTATGCCAAAAATATATATGGGAGCTATATCTAAATGTGAACAGATTTTCACGAAATTTAACACACGTCGTCCTAGACTTAATTCAGTACGCTATGCCAAATTTCGGGACTTTGGTGCACTATTTCCCTAAAATCGGACGAAAATATATATGGGAGCTATATCTAAATATGAACCGTTTTTCACGAAATTTAACACACATCGTTCTAGACTTAATTCAGTACACTATGCCAAATTTCGTGCAAATCGAAGGATATATAGGGACTGCGGTGCGCTATTTCCCTAAAATCGGACGAAAATATATATGTCAGCTATATCTAAATCTGAACCGATTTTTCCCAATTTCAATTGGGTTCGTCCTTGGGACGAATAACTGACCTGTGCCAAATTTCGTCCAATTCGGGATATAAATGCGACCTGTACTTTGTTTACAATTTAAAATGGACAGACAGACGGACATGCATAAATCGACTTAGAAAGTGATTCTATGTATATTCTCCAAAGGAACCACTAGTCTATCTCCTTTCCTTTTGCCTGTTACAAAGAAGGCCACCCAGTTTCGGAATAAAGAGGCTGTAATTATTCATTCCAGGTCTGGATTGGTATAAAAGTATTCGCAGAAAACTGTATATATATATATATATATCCTGAAAAAACGCATCTTGCTAATGCGGATAATTCTGGACTGCATTCTACAATTCAATGCACTTTCTATAATCAGGATTGTGAAAATACATTATTTTATGGCTAATGAAGATATATACACTTTAAACGGCAAAAAATATGACTCATCGAAATATTGGTTTTAGACCCAATTATTCCTTGGGACCAAATCCGTTTTAGAAAATTTGTAGTCGATTTACAAATGTCTGTCTTTTTGGCTGGTGCGCACGATACCTCTCGAAGGGATTAATCGATTTCATTCAAACTTTGAATACCCTCAATTTCAATAGGGTTCGTCCCATGGTTCCGTTTCTTCTGGTAACTCCCACATAAAATGGTCAAAATTGGAAGACACTGTATACATAGGTGTGTCACCACTTGGCAAAATCGCCGTAGATATTTCTCCTAATCTAGTACGGTGATATAAAATCCATATTATGGTTATTGTTATTTTTATGTATCCATTTGAACATATTTTTAATATGAAAAATGTTGCATACTTTTAGGCGCATGAAAAATATTGCCAACCTATTAAAATACACTTGAATTAACTGCCGAAGTATTGTAGTAAAAAACTAATACATGTAGAAGAAACACGTTTTAGTTGAGACCACGATGCAATAATAAGGTGATGTATCAAAACGAAAACCTTTGTTTTTGCCTCGACCATCTGTCTAATTTTTCGTTATAATATTTCACATGGTTGGCAACATTGCACATCGAATTGTAGTAAAACTTACTCACTTTGACAGTTAATCAAGACATCAGCTGCTCTAAATGGACTACATCATGGGACAATGAATAGGTAGTCCATTTATAGCAGCGTAATTTCTACTTGAATTCGATGTTCAATGCTGCCAACCATGTAAAATACTCGCCCATGTGACATGTTCCGAGAGTTTTTGAATTCCCATACTTTTTTAGATTCCCATGTTGTGCAAAATGGTGTGCTCAATTTCGAGCGAAAGTGCGCCTCGAAAGCATAGCTTTGTTCAATTGTTACGAACTGTGTTCAATAAAAAACCTATGTTTCATTGGAATTTGCTATTTGTTTAACAACAAAATTAAGAAAAAATGCCTGCTGGCTTATTAATTGCCCTGGTTTTTACCAGAAAAAGACTAATGGCACTGAAACGTGTTAAATGACGTCACCTTAGGAACGCATCGGACCCAACGGATATGCCCGAATCTGTGTATGTAGTTGCGATAATTACTCCAATGCCCTAAGCTACCAATAATGTTTATAGTTTCGTATGTCTTAAAGAAGCATTTATGCATATTTTGAGAGTAGTTGGTCCTTTCATACACAAGGACTTAAGATTTCTGATTATTGGTGGGTTGTAGAGGATAGTGGCAAATGATTTAAATATAAGTGTTGATCCACAACAATGAGTAAAATATTGTGGAGAGTAATGAAAGTCCTGGAAGACAAAGTGTGTGCAGCGTGGATAAACATTAGTCTGAGTGAAGATGAAATGAGGTTATACAAATTGCATTTTTATGGACATTTCGGATTTCCAGGTATTCCGCGTATTTAATTTTACGATAAAAACCAATATTTTAATTAAATTTTGTAAAACATATTGTAAAAACATGAGCTCAGAAAAACACGTACGATCTAATTTCTTTTTCAATTCACAAGGCTATATGTGCTCGAATTATATTCCCAATATTTTCTTTGGGAATTCGGAATGGAGCACACCAAATGTGGGAAAATGTTTCACATTCGAGCAAACTCGAAATGCAGCACATGTACAGCTATTGTCCAGATTCCCTTCACCGTGTGTTGTATTGTGATGTTCGAATTTCATTTTTGGTCTATAGATCGACTCGGTAATAACACAAAAAATTAAGTTTTCGGTCCACTTCATTCCAAAATTATTATCAGATCATCACCGAAAATTATAGGCGTTGTCCTTGACCATAACTGGAACCTCATGGAACATTTTAAAGCGATCAGCTCTATAGTTCCCACATCCGAGCACATACAACAATATAATTGATATTAATTTAAAGGTCAACCACTCCTCTTGGATATAATACAAACTTCTCGGGTCTATGTCCTTCAGTGGTAAATATATACGCTATAGAATACAAAT